CTCCTCCTCCTCCCCCTCCTCCTCCTCCTCCTCCTCCTCCTCCCCCTCCTCCCCCTCCTCCCCCTCCTCCTCCTCCTCCTCCTTCTCCTCTTCCTCCTCTCCCTCCTCCTCCTCCTCCTCCTGGGTGAGGGGGGGCGCAGGGGGGAGAGGGTGTCGAAGGGGGGGCGGGGGAGGGGGTGCCGAAGGGTGCGCGGGGGGGAAGAAGAGAGCTATGGGGGAGGGTGGGTCAAGGAGAGGCCAGGGAGGGGAGGGGGGAAAGGGGTGGGCGGCTTGCCGCCGAGGGGGTGGAAGGAGGCGGCAAAGCAAGCCGCCGATAGGGCGGTTGGGAAGAAGCGGTTTCCCGCCACGAGGAGGAGAAGGCGGTTTGCCGCCAGAGGAGGAGTAGGCGGTTTGCCCCCAGAAGGGGTAGGCGGTTTGCCGCCAGAGGAGGAGAAGGCGGTTTGCCGCCAGAAGGGGTAGGCGGTTTGCCGCCAAAGGAGGAGAAAGCGGTTTGCCGCCAGAAGGGCGGTTTGCCGCCACGGAGGGGGAGAAGGCGGATTGCCGCCATGGGGGGGGGAGAAGGCGGATTACCGCCGACGGAGGACGAGGCGACGGAGGAGAAGGCGGTGCGCCGCCTAAGGAAAGGGGGGATAAGGGAGGGCCGAAGACACATGGATAAACATTTTCCTCCTTCCCTCCCCCCTCCCCGCGGGCATGCGCGCAGCCCGCAGCGCCGCGGCCGCGAGGTACAGCAAGTACCTGCGGCGCCTCGGTCCTGAACAACTGAACAACAACAACAACGGAAATTCAATGGATTTCAAAAAAGTTAAGAATAAAAAATACGCAAATGATTAGCAAAAACACGAATATGTTCAGCCCCATCGACTTAGCAGAGATATCTAACTTAGTATATTACTTACATCTACACTTACAAACACCATAAGTATTGCATATGCACACATGAGATGCGCGATCAACAAGTGTACGTTCTATGGCTTAACTAAGATTATGTAAGATGAACGCTCTTACCGCACTTACAGCCACCCGACGATCAAAGCAATGTGAAAATACTCTCCCTCTTCCCCTGATGGCGTCCGGGTGATGGCCGCGCACCCTCCGCGCATTGTTTTTTTACACACAGGATGCCCGGGAAATCCCGGGAAACGACTCTCGCTGAGGCGCCGGCGTCATTTTTTCCCAAAATGCTGCTCTCGTTGAGGCGCCGGCCTCATTTCTGCTCCCGAATCGTTCCGAATCGTGCTCCCGCTGCAGCGTGGGCCTCATTTTCGGATCGGTGTTTGGCCTCCGTCGTTCAGGATGGCGTTCTCGCCCCAGCGCGGGCCTTTTTCTCGCGCGCCCATCCGCCCGCCACCGCCGCGCCGCACCACCACCACCACCACCACCACCACCACCACCACCACCACCACCACCACCACCACCACCACCACCACCACACCACACCAGTACCACCACCACCACCACCACCCACCACCCACCACCACCACCACCACCACACACCACCACCACCACCACCCACCACCACCACCACCACCACCACCACCACCACCACCACCACCACCACCACCACCACCACCACCACCACCACCACCACGACAACCACGCACACACGCACGCACGCACGCACGTGCACCACCACCCACTACGCACGCGCGCGCGGAGCCACAGGTCCGCTACGACACGCGTCCGCGGATAGAGAAAATCAGCGCCATGGTAAGGGATGGGAGGGAGGGGTAGGACGTCAGATATGACGCGAGCGCACCTAGCTTGTCCTCCCCCCCCCCCCTCCCCCCCCCCTCTTCCCCCCCTCCCCCCCCCCCCCCCTCCCCCCCCCTCCCCCTCCCCCTCCCCCTCTCCCCCCACCCCTAGAGGCTGGCTCTTTGGACCCCAGGGGAGGGGGAAAGAGGGAGGGGGGACAGCCGAACGTCCCACACGCTCTCTTTCATTCCCGTCAAGCGGGGGTCGGCGGCTAGCAACCGAGTGTTTTGCTCTCCATCGGGCAGACAAGTTGTCGTGTGCAGCTGCTGCGTGCTCCACAAGCGCAGCGATGTGCCATGCTCAAAGCATGGCTGTCAGTGTATTTACTGGGAGCGAATTGCCCATGAATGCGGCAGAGCAGCCAGCAGATGCTTCCGACCCCATCTCAACGGTTCCGACGAGACCCATCGTTGTTATGTTTCATGCTGTCAAAGTTCTTGGATCGTTTCGCAGTGCAGAGACTCATGCGTCTGGCGGCAGGATTTAGTAAAGTGCGATATTGAAGTGTAAACGAGCGAGTTTGGCGTCTTGCAGTCACCCCGCGAAGGGTGCAGCTTCGACGGCGACCTCACACGAATCGCGCCTTTGAGACCAGCCTAAGCGTATGGGAAGCAGCGCTTCGATTCGGACGTCTAGAGTCATCGAATTGTAGACGCTTCGCGTATCCCCGCCTACGGCACACCCCTAATTCCCTGGCATTCTGCTAGGCTGCAAGTGCCTGAGCTTCCCTGGACGCCCTCAGCCCGCCAGCTCTCCCGCGCAGCCTGCCACTGCTTGGTGAGTGGGCCGGCCGGCCCGCGGCGCGTTTAGTAGCTAATTAGGCCGCTTCCGTGTCCCGGAGAGCTTCTGACTCCGCTAGCGCTCTCGCTGGCGGACGCGACCGAAAAAGTATCCCCGCCATCCCCGCCAGCCCATCCAGAAACGATATCCAGGCGAGTTGAGGTGATCAGGGACGTGCGGGATCAAAGAGGGGGACGGCCGAACCGTGCGAAGGAGGGAGGACGAGAAGGAGGAGGCTGGATGGATGGATGAGGGAGTGGGGAGAAGGAGGATGAATAGGATGAGGAGGAGGAGGAGGAGGAGAAGGAGGAGGAGAAGGAGGAAGGAGGAGCAACAGGAGGAGGGCAAGCAAAAGGGGCAGAGGTCTCTTGGATGCCTCTGGGAGCCTCTTGGGGTATCTTGGGCGCTTCTTGGTGGCCTCTTGGGGCGTCTTGGAGGTCTCTTGGCGGTCCTGGGGGGCTCTTGGGCGTCTTGGGTGCCTCGGGGGTGCGTCTTGGGGTTGCTTGGGGTCCTCTTGGAGGCCTCCTGGGGGCCTCTTGGGGGCCTCTTGGGGCAATCTTGGGGCCATCTTGGGACCTCTTTGGGCCTCCTGGGTGCTTTTTGGGGCCATCTTGGAGGAAATCGATCAAAGACGGGGGGGTGGCAATTAGTCTTGCCCCCCCAATGGGCCAACATCGGGCCATAACCTTAGTAAAACCAGTGATTTTGGCTGCCTCGCCGAGGCTGTTTTGGACGCCCTGACCGCTCGCGGAGCCCCCCGTCCAGGTCCAGATGAGGGGGTAGGGGGAGGGGTCAAGCTACCCACCCGCCCGCAAGCCGTCTCGCTCACTCCCACCCGCCCTCCCAACACATACGTAACACCCGAGCCTGAGCATGTTCAGCGGTCGTCTTTGGATGGACAGCTATTGGGAACCAACGCCGACCCCAGGTGCGCGACGTTTGGGCGAGGTGCGCCACGCGTGCCAGGGGCGCCACGCGCGCCAGGCACCCCTGGGGCCCGAGCGTGTCAGGCACGCCTGGTGCGCCAGATGCGCCACGTGCTCCGAGTGCGCCAGGTGTGCCGCCCACTCCAGCCGCGCCAGGTGCGCCGCGTTCGGGGCACGTGCGGAGTGCGTCAAGTGCGCCTGCGCACGTGACAGCACACTTCGGGAAACATGTCGGCCCCCGCCATCCGTGTCGAACACCGATGCCCATCATTGTGTCTGGTGGGCCTGCGCACTGCAGGCCACGCGCCACCACCCCCGCCGTCCCTGTCAAAAGCCACTTGACAGTGATCGTGGGATGGCCGCACGATCCAGATTTAGCCGCGATGTGAATGTTGTATTGTTATTGTCAGGGATGGTAGCCCTGCGCACAGCAGGGAATATGCTGACACCCCCGCCGTCCTTGTCAAAAACAATACAACGTGCTCGCGGGCCTCACGAACATGACTCAAGACTTTGTCCCAAGGCATACTTTGTATTGTTTTTTGACGGATGGTGGGGGGGTTCGCATCGGGTTGGCCGCGCATGCTCCAGATGTGGTGGCAGAGTGCGGTTTGTATTGTGTTTGACAGGGATGGTGGGGTCGGGTCGGCATGGTGTCGGCATGGTGTTCGGCATGGTGCCTGGTTGGCCCCTGGTCGCCTGGGGGAGGGGGTGTATATTGATAAGGAACGGTGATCAACCCTTCCCCGAAGGGGAAGACGGGGTTTGGAAGAGGAGCTGCCCGAGACCACCTACGCTCAGAGGGCTGGTGGGATTCTACAAGGCGGCGTCCATGTTAGATTCGGCATCGGCCGAGTCACCGGCTCCATTCGTTTGACACGGGCCCACTCGCGCCCAGACTGCGGGGACCCCCGATGCACCCAACTTACACGATTCCCTCACGAGTGTCCATATAAAATCTTTCATACTCCGACCCATTCACATTCAAGCTCACTCATACCAAGAGTCAAATCAGCCACATACGCGGGCTCATTTGCACCCGGACCAATTCATATCCATGCGCTCGTACGCAGATGTTTTCGTATTCAGCCGCTCGTGTTCAGACTCGCCCACACCCAGACTCACTTATACACAGACGCTCAGCTGTGGTGGTGGTGGGGGGGGGTTCTTTTTTCAATCCGTAGGCAGCGGAGCTCTCGCTCTCTTCTCCGGGGCCAGCTTTTCGTCATCCCGGATAGTTTTTTGGGGGCCCAGGGGCCCGAAAACGGGCCCCAGGGCGCCGAAACGGACGAATTGATTCGCAAGCATCGGGAATCGGGACCAAACAGTAGTAGTCCGCTAGACGTCTGGGTCGCCCTCTGCGCCGTCGCGGCGCCGCCTGCTGGGGGTCCCCGGAGGTCTCCAGAGGCCTCCGGGAGGCCTCCTGGAGGCCTCCAGAAGTATCCGGAGACCTCCAGAGGCCAAGGGAGGTGCAGCAGCGCCCAGAAACCTCGATCCGCCTCCTCCTGCGCCTTTCGCCCCGCTGGCGCGGGCCCCCAGGTGCGTGGACGCCCACATCGCCGGCGTTGCCGCGATCCTCTCCTGCAGGGGCGAGGGCCTACCCCAGTACGCCACGGAGAGCGTCGTCGGGGGAGTGCCCGGACCGCGTGGCGGCGGGTTCTCCTCTTTCTCATCTTCCTCATCTTTCCCATGCTCTTCCTCTGTATCTTCTCTTTCTCCTCCATGCTCATCTTCCTCGCTGCTATTGTTTTCGTCGTCTTCCCTGTCATCGCTGTTCTTGATCCCCCCTCCTCAGCCGCCTCATCATCCTGCTCCTCACCCGTCTCTTTATCAGATTCCTCCTCTTTCTCCTCTTTCTCCTCTTGCTCCTCTTCCTCACCCCTCTTTCCCTCACTCCTCCTTCCCCTCCTTCCTTCGTTCGTCCTCCCCCTGGCCCCCTTCCCTCAGTCCTCCTCCTCCTCCTCCTCCTCCTCCTCCTCCTCCTCCATCTCCTGCCTTTGACTCGAGCGCTCCGATGGCCCCAGCCTGGCGCGGCGGCGCCGGCGACCGCTACAGTAGGCACTCTGTGGGTCAAGCTGCACAGCTCCACGGCCGAAGCGCCACACTGGCAATTCTAGGCCTCCCAGATGGGGTCGGGATAGATGGGGTCGGAGGATCGCGCCGCATCGCCGATACATCGGCGATGCGGCTCGATGTGCAGCCCGATTTGCTTCACGTCGACGTCGACGATGCGCCGCCGACGTCGCCGGTGCATCGCCGGTGCATCGCCGATGCATCGCCGATGCATTTCCGATGCATCGCCGATGTATCGGCGATGCGGTGTGATCCTCCGACCCCATCTACTCCGACCCCATCTAGGAGGCCTCTAGCAATGGAGCACATGTCCCAACACCCCTCCCAACTTGGCCAGGCCGGCTTCGAGTAGGGCTAAGTCGGGCATGTCCCTCTACGGGAGGAAAACTCAAAACTAGGCCAAAGATAGTCTGGGGGCGGTTCTTCGACCATGTCTGACTAGTTTCGATTCTTCTCTGTTTGACTATTTTTGATTTTGCGTCCAGGATCCGCCTGCAGGAGCACATGCCCGACCTGAGAGTAGGGGATCGATTGCAGAATCGATTTGCCCCGAGCTTGATCTTCAGGAGGGGAAAAAACACACAGACACAATTAATCGTCGACCCCCAGGAAATATGGGAAGATATGGGAAGTGGGGGGAAGACAGAAACCCAGAAAATATGGAAAAATATGGGGGATCCTTTTATTTGTGTGTATTTCTTTGTGTGTCCTGGGGCCCCTTCAGATCTGCCCGTCGAGTCTGCGAGACGTGCGTGCACGATGCTCTGCAGACCTGCGCAGCGGCCGCCGTGCGGCCCTGCGTCGAGGAGGGCGCCCGGCGGTGGACGCGCACCAGACTTCGCCTCCTCCTCCCTCCTCCTCCCTCCTCCTCCCTCCTCCTCCCTCTCCTCCTCCTCCTCCTCCTCCTCCTCCTCCTCCTCCTCCTCCTCCGCCTCCTCCGCCCTCCTCCTCCCTCCTCCTCCTCCTCCTCCTCCTCCTCCTCCTCCTCCTCCTGGAGGAACGTGCAGTCGGACTTGATTGGACAGGACACGCGAGAGGACAAGAGTCGGGGGTGGACAGACCTCCTACTCCAAATCCCTTATTAATCGACCCCCCCCTAAAAAACCGGACCCCCCTCCAAATGCGACCTAATATTCCGGACCCCCTCTTCGAGGGGGCGCCTTAGTAAACCAGACCCCCTCAGCTCCAATCCAAAGAAAGCGACCTAATAAACCGGACCCCCTTAATGACCAAAAAGGCGCCTTAAAAAACCGGACCCGGGGGACGATTAATAAGGGATTTGGAATACCCTGACACGTCGATTAAGGAATTGGCCGTTTTCGGTTCGCGAGAGGGCGTCGCGGCCGTCACTTTTGCGGGTCCAGGTCCGTCGGTTTCGGTCCCAGGCCATGTTCACTAAGGGGAGGTCTACTAAGGGAGGTTTGTCCACCGCCGAAAGAGACCCTTCCGAGGGCCACATTGCCATAGGAATGCAGGAGGCACGGGTCGCGAGACACAGGACACAAGGGTACCCTCGATTTGGCAGGGTCGACCTACTAGTTTATCCGGGCCGACTGCATCAGCAGGACGAAACGGGGTCATGAGGGACAGGGGTCCTGAGTTTTGCCGCTCTCTTCGGGCTCCCTGGGGCCTTTCCTGGGCCCCGGGGCTGTTGCAGCAACGGTTCTCCAGGATGTCGGATGGTCCCAGGGAGCCCCGCAGTCCAGGACCTGCTTCCCTCAGGGCGCCCTTCTCTCGCCCGGCCAGAAGGAGGAGAGGGAGGATGTCAAGATTCTTGGGTGCTCTGGGTGGTGTTTGGCCCTCCCTTGGCCTCCAGGTGGCCTCTCCAGCTGGGCTCACTGTGCATTCATATTGGATCCTCTTGGGCTGACGAGACGGTCACACAGACCAAGAAAGAGGTGGATCGACGCCGTGCTAGCGTACATCTGAGGGCTGGAGCCGAGGCTCCGCCGCGCCTCCCGCGTAGGGACGGCTTCCGGGCCGGTGGGCGCGCGTGTGTGTGTGTGTGTGTGTGTCTGTGTGTGTGTAGGTGGGCGGCTGAGGGGCAGACTGTTAGACAGGAGGGGGGCTCGCACGAGGCGGATGCGTCGCCGGGACCACGGCCTGGGTGACAGACGCTGGCTAGGTGGCGGATTCCACTCTCTTTCGGGATCGACTCCGCGACCTTCGAGGACGAGTCGGAGAGAATGATGAGGAGGGTGACGATGATGAGGACGACGATGATGATGATGATGATGATGATGATGATGATGATGATGCTGATGATGATGATACTGATGATAATAATGATGCTGCTGATGCTGATGATGATGATGATGATGCCGATGATGGTGATGCTGCTGATGATGATGCCGATGATGGTGATGATGATGCTGCTGCTGATGATGCTACTGATGACATGATAATGATGTTGATGCTGCTGCTGATAATGATGATGTTGATGCTGCTGATGATGATGCTGGTGATGGTGATGGTAATGGTGATGAGGACGAGGATAATGCTGATGATGCTACTGATGATGATACTGATGATGATAATGATATTGATGGTGATGATGATGGTGATGCTGATGATGATGATGCTGATGATGATGCTGATGATGATGATGATAACGAGGAGGAGGGGGAGGATGACCAGGAGGAGGAGGATGACGATTAGGATGAGGATGACGATGATTTGGATGGTGATGGTGATGATGATGACGACGACGACAATGACGATGACGATGACGGTCACGATGACGATGGGGATGAGGATGACGAGGATGAGAAGGATGAGGAAGATTAGGAAGATGAGGGGGATGATGATGCGGAGGATGAGGATGATGATGACGAAGAGGATGAGGGTGATGAGGGTGATGAGGGTAATGAGGGTGATTATGGTGATGAGAGTGATGAGGATGAGGATGAGGATGATGCTGGTGATGGTTATGATGATGCTGATGAGGATGGTGATGCTGATGATGATGATGAGGATGCTGATGATGATGATGTTGATGATGACGAGGGGGAGGAGGATGACGATGACGAGGATGAGGATGAGGCTTATATTGATCGTTATGGTGATTCTGATGATGCTACTGATGATGATGATGATGATGATGATGATGATGATGATGATGATGGTAATGCTGATAATGAGGATGCTGGTGATGATGATAATCATGATGCTGATGATTATGATGATTGTGCTGATGATGATGCTGCTGCTGATGATGCTGACCATGATGATGATGGGGATAAGGGCGAGGGTGATGAGGACGCGGGTGCAGATGAGGATGAGTTTGAGGCTGAGGACGATGGTGATGATAATGACGATGCTGCTGATGATGATGACGAGGATGATGATGATGATGCTGATGATGATGCTGATGATGATGATGATGCTGCTGCTGATGATGATAGTGATGATGCCGATGATGATGGTGATGCTGATGATGATGCGGATGCTGATGATGATGATGATGTTGATGATGATGGTGACGACGATGATGGTGACGATGATGGTGAGGATGAGGATGGGAATGATGAGGTGGGTGAGGTGGGTCAGGAGGATGAGGAAGATGAGGACGATGATTATGCTGATGATGAGGATGAGGATGAGGGCGATGATGATGATGGTGGTGATAATGAGGTTGTTGATGATGGCGATGATGAGGCTGATGATGATGATGCGGATGATGAAGATGCGGATGCGGATGTTGATGATGATGAGGATGAGGATGAGGATGAGGATCGTGATGATGCTGATAATGAAGATGGTGATGATGATGATAATGCTCGTGATGATGATGATGATGATGATGCTCGTGATGATGATCATGATGATGATGATGATGATGATGATGATGATGATGATGAGGATGCTGAGGATGATGGTGGTGATGATGATGTTGATGATGATGTTACTGATTAATGAGGATGACGATTAGAGGATGAGGGGGATGAGGCAGATGAGGCGGATGAGGAGGATGAGGAGGATCAGTAGGATGAGGCTGACGACGACGAGGATAATGACGATGAGGATTAGGATGAGGATGATGCTGTTGGTGATGAGGATGATTATAAATATGATGATGCTGCTGATGATGATGCTGATGATGGTGATGCTGACGCTGACGATGCTGACGATGATGATGCTGATTATAATGATGCTGATGAGGATGAGGATGAGGATGATGATGACGATGATGATGCTGATGCTGCTGCTGCTGATGATGATGATGATGATGATGACGATGCTGATGATGATGATGATGATGATGATGATGATGATGATGATGATGATGATGATGCTGCTGATGATGATGATGATGATGATGATGATGATAATGACGATGATGGTGATGATGATGGTGGTAATGATGATGAAGATGATGACGATGATCAGGGGGAGGAGGATTAGGAGTTGGAGGGGCGGTGGTGGAACAGCAATCGATGAGGAGACGAGTATCGGGGAGGAGGCGGAGGAGGAGGAGGCAAAGGAGGAGGAGGATAGAGGAGACTCGATGATGAGCAGTCGCTAGGCAGCCTTGAAATCTCCTACGCTGACGGGATTCTGAGCGCTGCGTTTGATGCAACGTTGGCGCGGAGGATTCTTGAGGAGGGCGGTGCATGAGCCATTCCGTGAGATGGGAGGGGGGAGAGGGGGGGCATTGTAGAAGAGTGCAGAAACTCTACCCAGACAGCGTATGGTATTCTACCAAGCCTCAGAGTTGCAGGAGGCACGGTGACGGGCCAGCATTGCTTGAAGGTTACGCTGTGCAGGCATATCCGAGGCACCCGGTGAGGTATAGTTCTGCCAGCGCGCTGTACGTATGTTGAGCCTTCGCTTGTTCGCCGTCAGCAATGGGGTCAACCATTTTGGGAGTATGCTTGTCACCCACGACGGACGCCTCTACTCTCAGTCACTGCAACCGTCGGAATCATTAGGCGATGTCAGCTTCCTATAATTCGCTAGCGCTCCGAGCCTCCCCGTTTTAGCCGAGGCAGGTCCGACAGACCAGGGGCCTGGACGCGCCATCGAAACTCCACTCTCGTCCACTGGGTCCTCCTCGTCGCCGTCACCCTCCGTGCCTTCCCCCCTCGGTCTGCATTGGCTCAGGCTCATCCTCCTCCGTCTGTCCTCCCCCTTTTCCGTCTTTCCCTTCCTTCTGCTCATGCTCTCCCCACCCTTTCTCCTCCGTCCTGCCTGCCAAACCCCCTCCTTCGCTCTCTTTCCCGCCCGCGCGGACAGGATGGCTTGCGGTCCACGCGGCGCTGTGCACGGGCGTGGAAGGCGGGCCCTGCTGCGCACTCGCGGGCGGGAGGGCCCGGCGATGGCGTTCCTGACAGGGCGGGGCTCTGGGGTTCTTCGGTGTTGCTTACAGGACGTATTCGGGTATCGGTCCCCGGGTCTGAGCAGGTTCTCCGGGCCAGGAGAGGGCCCCGAACATCTGAGGAAGGTTGCCCTTTCGAGCCTCCTGCCCGAATGCCTGACATCTAGGGAAGACGCTCTGTGCCCATGCCCATCTTGTTTCTCACGCGGTGGCTGCTCAACGGCCGCCCCATCGTTTTTAAAGTGTTATGTTTGTTTTCCCAGATGCTCTCGTACTTTGTTGCTCGTTCGCTCATGGGCCAATGTAGCCCGCTCTCCCAGCCAGTTGCACCATCACGCTGTGCGGGCATTTCACTTTAAGCCCGCTGTTGGTAAAGCTGGGGGGTTGGGGGTATGACATCATGTGAGGAAGAAGATGCTCCCCCTTACTGGGAACTCGTGGTCTCTTTTCCGTGTCGTGGGTCACGTTCGTGTGAAGCCGTGCGCGCGTGTCGACTGAGTGCCCCCAAACAAGCTGCTCTCAGTGTGCTGCTTGGCGATGCTGCTCAGGCGCGGACTCCTTGGGGCTGGTACATTGTATTTTGTGTGTGTTCGGTTGGCGCTTCCAGTGCTCGCCTGCTCGAAGCCTCATCCGTCCCTACCAGATCCAGATGTGAAAGAACGAGCACGCTGAAGGCTCTCCAGGGTTCGATCGTTATGTCAGCCTCGTGCGGTGACCCGCGACAGGATCTTGCGGCATGCCTTCTGGCGGAGCCGCCGTGGAGCCGACGCGGACCACCTCAGAAGGTCCGAGAAGCCAGGAGCAAATTTCAGTCGGAACGGCTAGGAGCGAGCTGCATGCGCTGATGGTTGGCCAGGCTTGTGGGGCAGTGTCGTGACAGCTCCTCCCCTCTGGGGCGCCCCCCCCCGAACATATGTGGCATGCATCGTAGACCATCCTTCAGATGATCATGCTTTTTCTCCTTGGGGGGATCGTCGTGCAATTCGATGCGCATGCCAGTCGTATCTGGAGTTGCCCGTTCTGGGGGTGGCGTTCGGTGCGGCCCTTCTCGCCTCCTCCTCCTCCTCCTCCTCCTCCTCCTCCTCCTCGCCTCCCCCCCTCGGGGCTCGTAAGCTCGGCCCCTCTGTGCGCAGAACCCCTCGGGGCTCGCGACAGGCAAGCTTAGAGCCGTCGTCGTCGTCGTCGTCGTCGTCGTCGTCGTCGTCGTCGTCGTCGTCGTCGTCGTGATCTGAATTCTTCGGGGCTTGTACTCTCAGCTTTTCTGTGCGCAGAGCTCGGGGCTCGTGCCAGGCAAGCTCGGAGTCATCGCCGTCGTCGTCGTCGTTGCCTTCGTCGTCGTCGTCGTCGTCGTCGTCGTCGTCGTCGTGATCGGAATCTGTCGGGGTTCGTATTCCCAGCTTCTCTTCGCACAGAACCCTGCGGGGCCCGTGCCAGGCAAGCGTAGAGCCATCGTCGTACCTCTGTTCGGGGCTCGTGCCACGCAAGCTTTGAGCGCAGAACCCTTCGGGGCTCGTGCCAACGCCCCATGTCTAATAGCCAACTGCTCATCACTGATGCTACTGATACTCAGTGGCGGCTACTACTGCGCACTGCTTACTTGCCGTTGCTCCGTGAAGCTCGGTGTTGCTCCCTTGTGCTTGGAGATGCCCACGGCTGGTCAGTGTTGCGCAACGCTTGCCCCCCGCTTCTAAGTATTGGAGAGTGCTGCTCGCTTGTTGTCACTGGTGTTCAGTGTTGCGCAGTGCTCGCCCGATGCTTGCTCATTCCAGTGTTTCTGTTTTTGGTGACGTGTTATGTTTCTTTGCGTTGGTTTCTGTTGTTTGCTGCATGCCCACAGCTGGCCAGTGTTGATTATGCAATGCGGATCAGAGCTGTTCACGGGTGATCCTCGTTGCGCACCAGTGTTCATTGTTATCATTGTTGCACGGTGTCGGCCCATTGTTTGTTCATTACTTGCTCACTGAAGCCGAGGGGCTGATCGTTGATGGGCAGTGATGCTGGATGACGATCATTCGCGTTCAGTGGTGCTTCCTGGTGTTGTGCTGCCCATTGCTGTTAAGTGCAGTCCAGTGTCTTACTGCTATGCTACTGTAGGACCAATGATGGCTCACTGCTGCTGGCTGACGCCCACTGGCGGCCCAGTTCTGGTCACCGCGGCACACTGCATGGCCATCGCGTGATGGTTGATCGTGTGCCCCAAGCTTACTCTTGTGCACTCCTGGTCATTGCCGCCCAACGGTGCGCGCGGCTGGTCTTTGCTGCATGCCGCTGCTCGCTGACCAGCCTCCTTGCAATACGTCCATGTCCACCACAGACAGTCACGTCCCCTTCTAAATGATCAGCGTGGCTGCCCCCTTCCACGATACGCGTGTGCTCCAGCAGCGCCAACATGCATTGACAATCCGTGGGCGAGCAGTTGGCAAGCAGTGGGCAATCAGCAATAAGCAGTGGTGAGCAGTGAGCAGCCGTGAGTATTAGTGATCAGTAGTGAGGACCCAGAGAGCAAGCAGCGGGCAATCAGTGATCAATCGTGGACGAGCTGCAGGCACCAGTGACCAGCTATTTGAGTTGCATGTGGCACCTCTGTGCCAGCAGTGAGCAAGCAGTGAGCAATAATTGAACAGCACGAAAAGCCTCATTGCCTGCCCGATGATCGACTACTGTTGCTAACTGCTGGTTTGTTGCTGCCCACTGCTGCCCCCTGATCGTTTACCGCTGCCAATTCGTGGTTTTCGCGGCTTGCTGGATACTCACCGCTGACACGTCCCGTTCAATGGCCTTTCATCGTGAGCATCCTTTCTCTTGTCAGGCACACATATAATACACACAACAAACAACCATGCTATCAATTCGACCCAAAGAAATACATGTCCCAATGCCAAGCACCGACAGCCTATGCCAGGCACGACCATCCAAGGCACAGCAAGACCTCGCCCGACCATCTCAATGCGAAGCAATCAGAGGCCTTGGGAGGGGGAGGGGGGCAACAAACAAACAACAATCCTGCAAGGGAGGGCACGGCGTTTTTTTCGCCCTCCCCAAAAAGCGCCACCACGGCGGAATGGAGGGCGTCCATCCAGACTCTGGGTTGGCGTGGGCGGTCGCTGCCTTTCGCCGTTTCTCCCTCCCCCTTTCCCTCCCCCGCCTTCCCTGTGTTTTTACCTAACAGCGAAGACTGATAGGTTTCTAGTGGGATCAAAAGAGAGCAGCAGATCACTCCACAGGGGGGTCCGGGCAGGTGTTGGGAGTTGCCGGGCGGCACTTCGTGCTCTTCGACTTCCCAGAACTCCATTCCCAGGCCACATTCTCAATACCCGGATGCAACAGTCACACACTTCGTGCTCTTCGAGATCCCAGAACGCCATTCCCGGGCCACATTCTGGAGGGCCGGATGCAACAGTCACACACTTCGTGCTCTTCGAGTTCCCAGAATTCCATTCCCGGGCCACATTTTGGATGCCCGGAGCCAACTGTAGGCCACTTCGTGCTCTTCGAGTTCCCAGAACTCCATTCCCGGGCCACATTTTGAATGCCCGGAGCCAACTGTAGGCCACTTCGTGCTCTTCGATTCCCAGAACTCCATTCCCGGGCCACATTTTGGATGCCCGGAGCCAACTGTAGGCCACTTCGTGGTCTTCGAGTTCCCAGAACTCCATTCCTGGGCATGATTTTGAATGCCCGGAGCCAACTGTAGGCCACTTCGTGGTGTTCGAGTTCCCAGAACTCCATTCCTGGGCATGATTTTGAATGCCCGGAGCCAACTGTAGGCCATTTCGTGTTCTTCGAGTTCCCAGAACTCCATTCCCGGGCCACACTTTGAATGCTGAGGCAGGCTGATGCTGAGGCTGAGGCAGGCTGAGGCTGAAGGCAGACTGAAGCTGAGGACGAGGCTGAAGGCAGACTGAGGCTGAGGCTGAAGCAGGCTGAGGCTGAGGCTGAGGCAGGCTGAGGCTGAGGCTGAGGCAGGCTGATGCTGAGGCAGGCTGAGGCTGAGGCTGAGGCTGATGCAGGCTGAGGCTGAGGCAGGCTGAGGCTGAGGCCGAGGCTGAAGGCAGACTGAGGCTGAGGCTGAAGCAGGCTGAGGCTGAGGCTGAGGCAGGCTGAGGCTGAGGCTGAGGCAGGCTGAGCTGAGGCAGGCTGATGCTGAGGCAGGCTGAGGCTGAGGCTGAGGCTGATGCAGCTGAAGGCAGGCTGAGGCTGAGGCCGAGGCTGAAGGCAGACTGAGGCTGAGGCTGAAGCAGGCTGAGGCTGAGGCTGAGGCAGGCTGAGGCTGAGGCTGAGGCAGGCTGATGCTGAGGCAGGCTGAGGCTGAGGCTGAGGCTGATGCAGGCTGAGGCTGAGGCAGCCTGAGGCTGAGGCCGAGGCTGAAGGCAGACTGAGGCTGAGGCTGAAGCAGGCTGAGGCTGAGGCTGAGGCAGGCTGAGGCTGAGGCTGAGGTAGGCTGATGCTGAGGCTGAGGCTGAGGCTGAGGCTGATGCAGGCCGAGGCTGAGGCAGGCGGAGGCTGAGGCCGAGGCTGAAGGCAGACTGAGGCTGAAGCAGGCTGAGGCTGAGGCTGAGGCAGGCTGAGGCTGAGGCTGAGGCAGGCTGATGCTGAGGCAGGCTGAGGCTGAAGCTGATGCAGGCTGAGGCTGCGGCAGGCTGAGGCTGAGGCCGAGGCTGAAGGCAGACTGAGGCTGAGGCTGAAGCAGGCTGAGGCTGAGGCTGAGGCAGGCTGAGGCTGAGGCTGAGGCAGGCTGATGCTGAGGCAGGCTGAGGCTGAGGCTGAGGCTGATGCAGGCTGAGGCTGAGGCAGGCTGAGGCTGAGGCCGAGGCTGAGGCAGACTGAGGCTGAGGCTGAAGCAGGCTGAGGCTGAGGCTGAGGCTGAGGCTGAGGCTGAGGCTGAGGCTGAGGCAGGCTGATGCTGAGGCAGGAGGCTGAGGCTGAGGCTGAGGCTGATGCAGGCTGAGGCTGAGGCAGG